ACTATGCATGAATACACATCTGAACTTACCTATCACCTCTTCTGGGCACCTGCTTCAGAGCTGCTGCACCCTACACCTGGTTTAGGTTGAATGAATCTCCTCCATGCTCTTACAGAAGGGGTGTAGTGCTCACCACAAATCCTTTAACTGCCATATCAAAATTACCTGAAAACTTGTTGGAGTGACTAGACTGACAACTCTGAGGGCAAGAACTATGTCTTTTAGTGCTTTATTCTCACACTTATCACAATACTTAGCAATCATAGGAGTTGAATGCATACATGTAGAATGGATGAATAAATAAATTAATGAAACTGAAAGGGTACCAAAAGAAACGCTAATACAGCCAGTGATCTTCATCACAGAGATACCCAAGAGTCCTCAGAAAAACACGTTACTTGCTCCGGAGCACATTCCCCAAGTGTCAACACAGCCCCAACATTTGTCACAGCCTCTGCTGCCAGAAAAGGATGAAATGCCACCCATATTCAGAAACAAGGATAGAGCAAACCCTCCTTCAAGTCTTATTGCTAGATGGCACCTGTTGCTAAAATAGCAGCTGGCAAGTGTTTTGTTTTGTTCAAAACAACAACAACAACAACAACAAAACCAATATATTACAGGAAGCAGCATCACAATGACAATAAGAAATCATGAAGCTAAATATATGGCAGAAAGAAATAAGAAATTTTAGCAATAAAGGAAGGAGCTGCTAGAGCCTGGGGGAAAAAACCTGAAATGTTGATTAGAAATTGCTCAGACTGCATTAAAAAGGAGAAACAAGAGGAGAGGGGAGGGGAAGAGAAAAGAGGGAGGGAATAAAATGGGGGTGGGGGAGAAAGAAAGGGAGGGAGGAAGAAAACAAATGTGGCTTTTTCCTGGCTCTCTGCCTCATTTTTATTCTGTCCTTCCCTGTCTCCCTCCCTCTGCCACCCTCTCAAGAGAGAATTCATTGATTGGGTTGGACCAAAATCTCTCACCTTTCCTCGCATGGTTTCTCTGTGAAGAACGAGTCTGAATCCATCTCCTTCTTGTCTGCTCCTCTCTCCTCCTCCCCTCTCCAGCCGCCATTGTTAGCTTCTCTACTTGGCTGGGCTAAGAGGCAGCTTGTCCAGCCGCACCTCTGGCAGCAGTGATGGAAGGAGGGGGGAGCAGAAGCTGGGAGCAGAGGGTGCCAGTGAGTGATCAGTGGGATCCCAGGAATCAGGCTCACTTTCAGAGCCGGAGAGAAGCCCCAGCCACCTGACAGCTGAGATGGCCCTGATAACGAACCTGTTGACTGCTACCAGGCAGAGCAGCCTCTCCAGGTGGAGCGGGCAGAAGACACAGACAAAGCATCACCTCCCTCAAAACAAAAATAAAACAAAAGCCCCCCAACAATAAACCCAGACAGGCAGCTTAGGGGAGTGCAAGCAGCACTGGCCCATGGCTTGGGAGAATTGGGATCTAGTCGTGTTCTATCATGAATGTGCTGTGTGCATACTGCCTCTCTGGGGCTTCGTTTCTATAAACAGGAAGGGCTGAACCTCCAGTGATATGATTCCATTTCATAACAAAGCTGTTAGCCACCTCAAGAGGGCTACATATTGCCCTTCTTTTCCCAGAGGGCTTTTCTTGGCAGACCCCACAGTATCTGGAAGAGAACCTTTGACTCAGGGATCCCTCCCCAGATGCCTGGCTGACCTCAGGGAGCAGATGGTACAGGTTCAGGGGCTAAGATGCCCTGGAATATGATAACTGAGAAGTAGAGGCAAATTAAGGATGTCAAGACTCAGTGAGGGTAGAGTTGGAAGGCACAGGGAGGCCAGGGGTGGGGGAGGCATGGAACAGCCAAACCCTGAAATTAGAGATGATTCACATTTAAATAGTGTGGGAGGGATGAACTCAAGGCAGCCAAAAGAAGAGGCTAACTCTGCGGAAGGTGCCCCCTCCAACCTAAACCCAGCAGGGAGCCAAGAGCAGTGGTAGGGGCATTTCGTGTGAAATAGAAAAAAAACAAAAAACAAAAAAACAGGTAATCAATAATCTCACCCTGAAGCTAAGGGAAACAGAGTGTTTTTCTTTCTTCTTAAATGTATTTTACCCTCTTTCAGTGACTTTCCTGGGATATTTTAAGCTTGTTCCCCTTGCCCCACTGACTTGATTTTGTCTGGATCTTCTGGCTGGTGCCCCTAGAAGGGCCCAAAAGCCTTCTTCTGTGGTGCTTTTCTCCCTTTCCTCTCCAGCCTTTCATCCCAACCTGCCCTCACCTTTCTGAACCCTTGTTCTGTTTCTTCTATTGGTCTGTCTCCACCTTGCTTTGAACGGTTGCCTCTGACCCAGACCAACTTAAGTCTGCCTCATCCCCATCTCAGGCTCCCCTCAGCAGGGCTGCTTTGTGAATCTCTCAGGGCTGGCCACCCCCAGGGACACTTGTCCCATCATGTGGCCAAATGTGTTTAGCACAAGAGCCTTTCCTGACCCCAGAAGAAGGGGGTAAAAGTTCAAGGGAAGGGAGGGGAGAACGCAGAGGCTCTACTAGGCCAGTGATTCTGGAGCTGGGGAGTAGCCCAAGGCCTCTAAATGGCTGCAATGCCTCTTTCTTTCTGAGGGGAAGGGGGGCCAGGAAAGTGCACATAATAGAAAGACTCTTCCCCTTTCTCTTACCACCTGGAACCATTCCCCAAATGATACCAAGTCAGAGACAGCCAGGTCCTAAATTCCACCACCAGTCAAGCTTCCATCTCCATCTCCTTCCAACTCCTGCCCTGCACGCTCCAGGGGACCACAGAGAGAGTGCCCCGGGATCCCCCTTCTCTAGGAAGGAATTAAGGAGACAACCCTCCACCCCTACCTCCAGAAAACCAGTTCACTTAATTATTTCAGCTCCCTCCGAGCTTCCTTTTTCCTAGCCAGGCTTTTCCCAGGACTCACAGCATTACAAACTCAGGATAAAACCGAGGAAGAACCGTTGTAAGGAGAGGGACAGACACACTGGAAGGAACAACCTCATAGCGTCAGTGAGTCAAACACCTGCATCCAGATCCGTCTCACTTGGACCCGGGCATCTCCCCCGCCGCCCCATCACACAATCTCTCTCTCTCTCTCTCTCTCTCTCTCTCTCTCACTCTCTCTCTCTCTCTCTA